TAACCTTCTGTTTCTTGTTTTTTATAGCTTTTTTTTTTCTTTTCTTTTTCCTACTCTAATCATTCCTTCCTTCTCTTTCCCTTTTCTCTACTCTATTTACTTATTACTTATTAAAAACAGATTTCACACAGTCCTTCAGCACTTTCTTAATCCTTATTATCTAAAACTTTTATTCTTGTTGCATATTTTGTATGTACTGTAAAGTTGTTTAATAATAATAATAATATATGCCATTATGCTATTATATACCCCTGCCCTTAATATACACCTCTGTGAGATTATAATGATATTTATAGTGCTATGCATGCAGGCCACAGCTTTTTCTTTTTGTCTTAGCTGCCCGACTTTATTCTGGCCTTTAGTTTGTATTCATGCAAGCATAAAGGATACTTTAATGACTAGAAAAAAGACTTCTCTTTTTCTCCATCTCTTGTCACTACAAATGATTAAATCAGGGGTGAATCTAGGATTTTAGAAATAAGAGGGTTGTGAAAAAGATGGTACAAAGCCATAGATATTAGAATATCCAAAAGACAAGACAGTGTGTAAACTATAATTATAAATGGTATTATTGGCATGCGGTACAGGAATTTTGTGGCTAAATCAAGTAAAAATAATCATTAAAATTTTTGATGTTTTTGGAGGGTTGCAACCCCACAACCCCTCCCCCCTAGATCCACCCGGCCAGGCACTGTTAAATGCTCAATGGCAAGCTTTGTGTGATTTGATCTTACATTAAGTATACTGAATATATCATATAAATACCATACCTTTGAATTAAGTCTATATCAGTAATATGAGACTCTCATCTCGTGATATCTGCCCTCAGGAAGTTGGGTCTCATTACTGATATGCTTGAAGGTATGGTACATATACTAGTAATATGTAATTTGGCTCAGTAGTGAAATGGATCATTTTTACTGCAGATAAATGACTATAGATATGTAGTATCTACGATATGTTGTACCAAAATTGTGGCATGCTTTGCTATCATTACCATTTTAAAAGTATTAGATCTGCCCCTGAATATCATTATTCATGGCCTAATTTTGTCCCGTTAAGTGGTACATTTTATGATTGAGATCTTATGCAAGGCGTATACAAACAAAAAGGGAAATAAGCCCTGGCACACAATTAGCACAAAACATAGTTTTATGTAGGGTGGGGCACGAGACTAAGTTTTATGAACCTGCATGTAGCTTTAACCTTTGTAGTTTAAACAAAAAAATTAATGATGAAACAAATTTTTGACAAAAATTGTGAAAAGGGTACCATATACTAGATCTATCATACAGTGTACTATCATTATGCATAGCCAGTGTAAACTTACTCTCCAGCTGTACTGCTTTGGCCATGGTCTCAAAATAGATCTGCTGAGCAAGCCATTGAATAGTCCTCTAACCCATGTTATTGTGTTGGGCACCATGATTATAAAGAAAAGCATCCAGTATAGGCTAGCTGCATGCTGCTGTGCTGGTATGTCAGCTAAGTCAAACTGATCATAGTAGTCACTGCTATTCTCGTAGTTGCTCAAGGTATACAAATCAGTTATTATTTTCATAAATGTGATTTTACTTACCACAAGACACAACAAAACTAACAGAAACAGTATAATCCGAACTAACCACACAAGGCATTTAATCCTTCGCAATGGGGACTGCCGTTTTCTGTCAGCGCGGCAACTGGTTTCGACCATAGTGGTTTCGGATCCACCTGCGACTATTTCCCTGCTTTTTGCACGATGCTGTATCAAAGGTGATGCCTCTGACACTTCCATCAGTACAATGTAAAACAGGGCCGTAGCCACCAGATTGAATGTGGTCATATATAGTATCTATGATGTGGTCAGGTGGACTTCTTGGCGCGCGAAGCGCGCAGAAAATTTTTACGCTTTTAATTATATTCATCGTCGTTAACTAACCTATTATTAATTAACTTATCCGGTTAAATTAGAGTCTGGCCATGATGGGGTTCTTCTTAGTCTGGCTACACGAGACTAGGTTCTTCCGGAAGACTGGAAGGCTAGGAATCTTATCTTTTGCCACTCCTAGACGAATGACCCTTTTTATTTCATCATTTTACGGATAGTAATTAACATTATTATTGCTGTAATACTAATAAGTGGGCGTTTTCACTCTTGAAAAGTGGTATGATGGCGGCTAGGAGTTGGTAGTTATCGTCAGTTAGTGTTTTACCTTGGACAGATTTGGATCCAATTGTTGCTTCACTGTGTTTCCCAGGTAACTAGTATTGTATTAAAAAGCTAAGTATATGAATTGCGTGCTATCATCTCCCACAATACTCACAAAGATGTAAATTTATGTCTTTTAACACCTTGTGGGCACATTTTCTTAAAAACTAACAATAGAATTACTTTGAATTTTTGAAAAGATGTGATCTGTATGAGTCTGCATGTACTAAACTTGGCATTTTGATTAAATAAGGAAGGGTTTTAAAGTTATTAGCTTTTTAATGTTTGTTATGTGTACCCCACGGTGGGCACATTTTAGGCCAATCAAGCGTATATGATGGATATTTCTTGATTCAGACATAATGCTTAAGAATGTACTTGTGTACTAGTGA